TTGTGTCCTCAGGTCAGATGGAAGTTGAAAGTGATTAGGAGAGAGCTTCCTGAGGCGCGAACAAGGAGCCATGAAACGCTGGTTGCAAAACAGTGCCATCTGGGAGGTGTGCAGCCCCACTGACGTGTCAACCACAAGAGGGGGTCAACAGTGTGGCTTGAACAAGCATCCTGGATACATCCTTTAGCCTTAAATCTATGGACAAGCTCAGTCTGACTGAAAGTGTTTAAAAGTTGCAGGAAGGTTGAGAGAGTCTTGCGGATCTAAGGAAGACCCCCACCTAGGATGCAAAGAGACGGGTTAGTGTCACATCCAAGTGTTCTGTACAGCAGCATGGTGGGTGGGAAGGACGAGTACTGAGGACAGGGTGCTGAGTGGAGAAGGATGCCCTCCAGACACCTACAAGTGGGTCAGGTGGGCTCCCACGAAAGGACCTGTTGGCACCACCAGAGGGCAAGTTGACAGCCAGTTACTACAGAGCATTAAAGACTATGTACGTCCTAAGTGAAAGGTCCCTACAGTATGCCAGACCAGACCTAAGATAGACCTAGAACTGAGTGAGGTTCAAAGCTGGAGGCAGGTTTCTTTTCTTCTCTCCAACAATCATTTTAGAAGCACGTAGCATGAAGCTTAACCCTTCTTTGCAAACCCAGCTCTGAACAAATAAAGGAGCAGCGGATGTCGCTGTCGAGGGGATGAGATGTTCAGCTCCACCCATTCAAGCTGGGAGAGAGGTCTGTGTAGTGTCTTTGTATATGCTGGGGAAGGGGTGGGGAGACACACACAGCCTTCCTTCCAATCCTTTCCCACACCTAAGGTGACTCAGACAAAGCCACATTGACAAACCTTTACCTCTAACCATTGGCACTCGAGCTTGGCCAAGAAAAAAAGTCAGTTATTAATATTGAGTCTCATAAAGGATTTTGGCAACATCAGTCACACCTGGAGCCAGACCAGAAAGTAAAAATTTCCATGACAGATATCAGACTTGAAGGTGGATAAGAAAGACTCCTGGCATAAAATTCCAGAGTCGGGTTATGCAATGGCAGCTGTCATGTGAGCAAGCATGGCCTCAGCTTTGACTACACATAAAGATTGCCAGTGAGACAGAGTGTTCTGGGCTATTGCAAATCTGAAGCTGTGCTACAGTAGGTTAGTGTTGCAGGAAGCTCTCCACACAAACTATAAAGACCTCACTTCTAACAAAGATGCTTAATGTGGGGCTAAATATTCATCCTGCAGCATGAACCACAACGATAAACATGGAAGCCAAGGTGCCGGGAAAGGCTGTCCATTCGTTTTGGTAGGAACACAACGTGGTCTAACTTTATTTTTAGAACAATTAGGCAATATAATCATTATTTTAATTATTCCTGATCCCCAATCCAGCATTGCCACTACCAGGAGTCTACTTTGTGGAACTACCCCCTAAGTGCACACATACACTCATAGATAAGGCTTTTTGCAGCCTGGCTTTTAATAGCCAAAAGAAAAAAAAAACAGAGACATAAGCAGAGCCATTAGGAGAGCCTGTCAGATACGCCAGGAGCTGTGCTCAGGAAGGACACAAGGCAGTTGTAGGAGGAGGTAAAGCTGCTTGTGTGGACAGAAAAGAAATTATCAATACAGTAAACAAACTGTGTCAGGAGATGGGTAATGCCCAATTCCGCTTAGATGCGAAAAGCTCAAGCAGCATGTATCTGTATGATTCCCACCAGCAGCTGCCGTGTAAAGGGACCCGTGAACATCACATTTTAGGGCTTCCTTTTGGAAACAGACTGCAAGCACTTAGAAAGCCTTCACTTTTAATTTAATGTCCTTATCTTTTCTTATTGAAACATCTTCAATAAGAATACAGTAGATGCCGGGAGGTGGTGGCGCATGCCTTTAATCCCAGCACTTGGGAGGCAGAGGCAGGTGGATATCTGTGAGTTTGAGGCCAGCCTGATCTACAGTCAATGTGAAAATGCAAGGCAATGGCATCCTCTGGACCTGCAGCCATCGGGATGATTCTGTCATCTGCGGTCCCTGTGCTGTGTCACCAGCAAAGCACACTGTAGTCTGCAAATGAGCTGTCTGGCTGCTGTCTGGCTGCTGTCTGGCTGTGATTCCTCCCAGCATCTAACCATGCCTGCCTGAAATGCTGCCACCAAAACTTCCTTCACCATTTTATTCCATTAGAATAATGACCTGCTATTAGGAAGACCGTGAGTTTCATTAACCAAAGATTAAGGCTTCTATTAGAAAGCCAAACATGCACATGCATCAAACATCAGAACAAAGCCTGGAATGAATACAAAGCTCTCAGCTCTCAGACAAGCTGTAAGACCCAGTTGACTGGTATTGAACTCTCTGAGGTGACCCTGGTTCCAGTTAGAGTCTTTACTAAGAAGTCTTCATTTCCTTTGAGACAAGACTATTGGCAACCACAGGTTTCATTCCAACCTTAATTACTATTAAACTCTCAAATCACACATGACTCTTCACACAGGTTTTGCTGGTGGTGGTGGTGGTGGTGGTGGCAGTGGTGTGTGTGTGTGTGTGTGTGTGTGTGTGTGTGTGTGTGTGTACAGAATGGGTAAGAGGAGATAGGGGACTAATACAGATATAAATAGAGCCCCCGCAGGTAGTGAATATTAAGAAACCCATTCCAAAAAGCCACTGCACACACAGACCTACTAAGACAAAGCCAAGAAGAAATCTAGTTCCATTTGATGAGGTGTTCAACCATTTCCGGAGAGGGGAATGAACATAGAGACAGATGGACTGGTAGCAATTCCAGAGAGTTTCACTGAACAGTGGGACCCATGCTGGCCTGAAGCCCATGGGCAGTCAGATGACAGGTCAGTGGGGCTGTTGCAATTGTACTATTACATGGCCTTTTCCCATGGGGTTCAGATGCAGATATTATACCCTCTGTTGGTCTGTTGTGTTGGAGAAGTACTTGGGCCTGAATTTTCTGAAATGGCTTTACTATACCTACATGTCCCCAGCCTACTTAAGAAACTCCTAAGTAGCACCTTTGGACTTGGTTGAGTAAATCTGATCAGTTCTAGCCCAGTCCTAGTCCTAGATAGCTTGTACTAGCTCCGTGGTGTCCACATGCACGATGACGCAGACTCTCTGCATTTCTTCTGCATTTATACTCAGACTCAGCTGCTGTTTAGTGAAATGGAGTCACCCAAAGCAAGGGACAGCCGGAAAGTCACTGTTTCACAGTGTGGAGTCATCCAGGGTAAGGAACAGCCGGAAAGTCACTATGTCACAGTGTAGAGTCACCCAGAGCAGGGGACAGCCGGAAAGTCACTATGTCACAGTGTAGAGTCACCCAGGGCAGGGGACAGCCGGAAAATCACTGTTTCACAGTGTGAAGTCACCCAGGGTAAAGGGACAGGCAGAAAGTCACTACATCACAGTGTGGAGTCACCCAGGGTAAGGGACAGGCAGAAAGTCACTACATCACAGTGTGGAGTCACCCAGGGCAAGGAACAGCCAGAAAATCACCATGTCACAGTGTAGAGTCACCCAGAGCAAGGGACAGCTGGAAAGTCACTATATCACATTGTAGAGTCACCCAGGGCAGGGGACAGTCAGGTTTCCACAGTAGGTCATTGCAGAAAGTGCTTCTTGCCTTCCTGACCTTTTTCTTTTTCACCTGTTTCAAAGCCAGAGCTTCTTTTATCGAGTCTCTCCACATCCACTCTCAGACCCCACTGTTCAGGCCATATTTTTCAGAGCCTGCTGCTGGCACATGAGGAGACTATAACTCAGCTTGCGGTCCTGTGTGGTCCCTTTCTTCCTACCTAGGAAATGTCTACTCTTGTAGCCCTCCGTCCATTTCAACGTTTACAAATGCCGTCACCAGCTGTGGTGGTTCAAATGAGAATGGCCTCCATAGGCTCATATATCTGAACACTTGGTGGTCAATTGGCGGAACTGTTTAGGGAGGACTGGGAGATGTGACTTTGATGGAGGAGTTGTGTTGCTGGGGGCAGGCTCAGGTCATTCCCAATCAGCTCTTGCTGCCTTCAGCTTGCAGATCAAAGTGTTATCTCTCAGCTACTGCTCTGGTGCCTGCCTGCTTGCTGCCACACTGTGAGAGTCACGGACTCTAACCTTCTGGAGTCATGAGCCCCAAATTAAATGTTTCATTTTCAAAATTGCCTTTGTTGGGGGTAATCACAGTACCAGAAAAAGAGAAGACACCAGTGTTCTTTTATCAGGTGAAGACAGACAAGACGCTTCTCTGGTTCTCATGTCTCCCCACCACCAGGGGATTTCCCTCCCACTCCATCACCACCAGTCATCTCCAGTGTTCCTTTGTTCTTGTAGAGCTTAACCTTCCTCCCATCTTCGAAGTTCATCTGAACTTATTGACAGAGGAGACAAGCCAGTGTAGAGGTCCATGTCTGCAGGTGGAGTTTCTCTGTGTCCCGGCAGCTGCTCCCCAATAGCCATTCAGAGACTTATTATTAATTATAAATGCTCAGCCAATAGCTCAGACTTGTTACTAGCTAGTTCTTCAACTTTAAATTAACTCATATTTCTTATCTATCCTCTGACATGTGGGTGCACCTTCTTTCAACACTGCATGTTCATCTTGCTTCTCTCTGAGTCTCTCATGACTTCCGAGACTCCACCCTTCTTCCTCCCAGCATCCTCTGCCTGGTTGTCCCACCTGGACCTCCTGCCCAGCTGCCGACCAGTCAGTTCTTTTAGTAAACTAATCAGAAGGCACTTTGGCAAAGATACGTCTTCACAGTGTAAAAAAAGATGTTCCATAGCACATGTCACATGTAGACAGGCCGGGACAGGCCTTCTGAACAATAGCCCTCCTGGACTTGAAGTCTGTTCATTAAGCATCCATGCACCCCATTCTAGTCCTCTTCTTCCATCACTAAGAAAGCAACGACCGCTAAGGCTTTGGGTTAGGTTCTGAAGAGAGCCCCATAGTAGTGTGTCCACTTTTGAAATGACATATGTAATCTTAGAATGCAGGCCCCATTTTCAAATGTGACTTTTATGTTTACCTCATCAAACAGTCTTACTTTAGGCTACTATAACAAAATTCCCTAAGCCAACTGGCTAAAACCCAACACAATACAACAGGTTGAGTAGCCAAACATAGACAGTTACCGCTCATGGTTCTGGAAGTTCAAGATAAAGCTTGGCAGTTTGGTTCCCAGAGAACTTTCTTTCTGGTGTCCAGGGGTGACTTTCTTATGTTTTCCTATGGCAGACAGAAAGCAAGCTGCGGTTCTTCCTCTGGTCATTAAGAACACTGACCGAAGGATGAGGTCCCACCTTACCACCTCATCCAAACCTTCGAAAGCCTCCACCTCTAAATCCCACTGCATTAGAGCTTCAGCGTTCCCTGTCTGCATTTGGATATGACACACACACATCCTTAATGTGTCCTTCTTCTCAGTCGTCGGATCTAACAGCTCAAAACCTTTGCTTTCTTTTCCCACGTAAATAATCAAATACTTGTCCCATGTTCAGCTCCATGTTTTCCTAACTCGGGAAAGCTAGGGAAGTGAAGAGACTTGGGGGGGTGAACTCAGATACCCTTTGATAGCATGAAGGAAGTCCACCCTTTGCAGGAAGTGGTGAACCAACCTTGAGTCAAGATGGCTGAGGCTATGTCTGAATACATTTTACTGCCCATGGTCTGGTTCATGGACATTTCCCTAACACTTTGCAAAGTTTGCTTATGGTCTGTGATCATTTGAATGTAATTTGAGTGGCACTATTCGATGTGTCTTTGTTGGATTAGGTATGGCATTGTTGGAGGAAGTGTGTCACTGTGGAGGTGGACTCTAAGGTCTCATACATACCCACACATCACCCAGTGTCCCAGGCCAGTTCCTGTTGCCTGTAAGTCAAAATGTACAACTCTTAACGCCTTCTCCAGCACCATGTCTGCCTGCAAGCCACCGTGCCTCACCATGATGATAATGAACTAAACCTCTGAAACTGTAAACAACCCCAATTAAATGTTTTTCCTTTATAAGAGTTGCCTTGGTCATAGTGTCTCTTCACAGCAATAGAAACCCTAAGACATGGTCCCAAACCCCTTCTTTGAGTGAGTGAGCTTCCTGAACTCCTCTGTCTGGGGTATACTCTAGTTTTAGAAGCAAAGCAGATAAAAACAGACGCAAACTAATACTATAACCTACAGCCCCACCCTCAATCTCCTGTACCCAGTTATGAGTTTCCAAAGCACTTGCCCTCTGAAAATCCCCTAAAGAACTGGACTAATTAGAACCATTGTTCATCATCCATTCTTCGTGTAGAACTCCCCAGAGACAGGGGTGTCATGTTTTTTTCATTGACATGTTCTATGTGTCTGAAAGAGGCATAGCATGTGGTGTGGCCTCAAAATTATTTGTGAAATTGAGTTGGGGTTACAGTTGGGACAGGATTCAAGGTTTCCCTGAGCCCTCGGATTTCCCAAGCTTTTCATGCTGGTGGGTTGGGCATATTGGTGCCAGCTCATCGGCGCTCTCCTAGGAGGCTGGCCTTGCTTCCTCCTGCTCACCACCCTAACACCAAGCCACTGTCTGTGAGGCACAAAGACAATTTTTTGCCCTGGAACTGATGGCCAAGTTCAGGAAACCCAGCCCAGATGTGAAGCTGTAGCCTTGGCAGCTGGCAGCTGGCAGCTGGCACCCAGGCGCTGGAAGAAGCCACAAGCTCTTTTTAGCTGTTTCCAGGCATTCTCGGGTATGCCACAAAGCTACCCTGAACCTTTAAACATGCACTTTTTCCCTTGACATGACTTGGAAGTGAATGACCAAAGGCTACTTAACACCGAACAAACATTTAGTCGTGCCCATGTGTTCAGCACAGCCCTGCCAAGAAAGCAGGCCCAAAGACTAGGCCAGGGGCCAGCAGGTCCACAAATGGTCCCCACATTTATCCTTCCTGCCAGACAGAGGAGAGAGGAGTGTAAATTACCCTTGAGACTCTAGGAAAGCTGAAACCAGATGGGTGAGGGACAGAATTAGTATCACAACAAAGGACGGTGGCAAAAGCTGCTACCACCTCCTCTCATGTGCCGTTCTGCCTCTGTGTTTAGTGTTTGCTCTTAGGCCACATACCAGGCAACAGGACCCACAGCCACAGGTATGGCTGATGCCAATAGGAGCTTTGGGGCTTTTCTTGGTTATTACTTTTCCTCACCTGTCTCTGCTGTGTCTTTGTTAGTAGGCAGCTGACTTCTATGGCACAACGTCCTCTTACATCCCAAACCACCCCTCTCACTCGGTTTCTGCAGATCTATATTCTCCTGAACAACGCTAGAGTGCCTCACATTGAACAGGTGCTCAGCAGACAGTCACTGAGGAGAGAAACCGATAATGGTTGAACTTTCAGTGCTGCAGAGACCCGAGGCTTTGCCCCATGTTTATGTCTTTTACTCCTGTAGTAAGCTGCTCAACCAGATGACCACCAGCTGAGTCCTCGGTTCTCAGAGCAAATCTCCACTCTGACAACGTCAGGCAGTCCTTAAGCAAGGGCGGGCAGGCCTGCTGCTGAGCACCGGCCCTCCGGAATGCAAGTGCGAGTCAAGTCCTTCCTAACTGTGCCGCTGTGCCGGCCACACAGCTATAGACATGGCTTACAGAGACAATTCTGAGAGACAGTATGGCAGGAAGAAATAACTCAGTTTTTGAGATCAAATCAGCCCAGTTCCTACTCCTGTTTTTCCCTTTATGAATTATATAACTTAGCTTTTAAAATGAAAAATAAAGACAAAAATGAGCATAAAATTAGAATACGGGAAATATAAACTACAAATTTGAAGAAGAAAATATTTTTGTACAGTTGGACTACGGGTGCTAAATCTCTGGAATCCACATAAACGTGGAACGAGAGACTTTCATAAAGCTATTCTCTGACCTTCCCATGCATATCACACACACACACCACCACCACCACCACTACCACCACCTGAATAACCAATTCAATAATTCATGTTGAAAAAGGAAAGAAAAGTTTATAAAATTTCAAAATTTCAAAAGTCAAAAAATACAAATAAACTATGGTTAATTTATCATTTAAGAAAAAATGTAAATAATTTTAGCATAGCCCAAGAGTCCAGTGATACCCTGGAGCCTGTAGCATAGCCTAAGAGTTCAGTGATACTCTGGGGCTTTTAGCATAGCCTAAGAGTCCAGTGATACCCTGGGGTCTGTAGCATAGCCTAAGAGTTCAGTGATACCCTGGGATCAAGACCCTACCTTTAACTTCACTTCGCTGACACCCAGAAGGGCTTTCTTTTTTTAATTAAATTTTTAAAATTTATTTTACATACCAACCATAGTTGCCCCTCTCTCCTCTCCTCCAGTTCCCTCCTCCCATCTCCTTTCTGTGCTCCCACCCACTCCTCAGCAGGGTAAGATCTTCCATGGGAGTCAGCAAAGCCTGGCACACCAAGTTGAGGCAGAACCGAGCTTCTCCCGCCTGCATCAAGGCTGAGCAAGCGATCCCACCACAGGGAATGGGTTCCAAAAAGACAGCTCATGTGCTGGGGACAGATCCTGGTCTCACTGCTAGGGGCCCCACAGACAAACCGAGCTACACAACTGTCACCCACATACACAGGGCTTAGGTCAGCCCCAGGCTGACTCCCTACCTGTGGGTCTAGGGTCTGTGAGCTTCTATGAATTCCGGTCAGTTGTTTTTGTGGGTTTCTCCATCATGATCTTAACCTCCCATGCTTATATCATCCCTCCCCGCTCTCTTTAACTGGACTCCTGGAACTTGGCCCAGTGCTTGGCTGTGGATCTCTGCATCTGCTTCCATCAGTTACTTAATGAAGGTTCTATGGTGACAATTAGGGTAGTTACTGATCTGATTACAGGAGGCCAATTCAGGTACCCTCTTCACTATTGCTACAAGTCTTAGCTTGGGTCATCCTTGTGGATTCCTGGGAGTTTTCCTAGCACCAGGTTTCTCCCTAACTCCATAATGGTTCCCTCTATCAAGTTACCTCTTTCTTTGTTCTCCCTCTACATCCCTCCCCCAACTAGACCTTCCTAATTCTTCAACCCCTTCATACCCAGAAGATCTCATTTATTTCCATTTTTCAGGGAGATCCATGCATCCCTCTTAGGGTGCTCCTTGTTACTTAGTTTCTCTAGGGCTGTGGATTATAGCCTAGTTGTCCTTTGCTTTACATCTGATAATTCACTTATGAGTGAGTACCGACCATGTTTGTCTTTCTGGGTCTGGGTTACCTCACTCAGGATGATTTTTCTGGTTCCATTCATTTACCTGCAGATTTCTTGATGACATTTTTTTTCTACCACTGAGTAATACTTCTTTGTGTAAATGTACCACATTTTCTTTATCTATTCTTTGGTTGACGGGCATCTAGGTTGTTTCCAGGTTCTGGCTATTACAAATAATGCTGTTATGAACATATTTGAGCAAGTGTCCTTGTGGTATGACTGTGCATCCTTTGTGTATATGCTCAAGAGTGATATGGCTGGGTCTTTCTTGAGGTAGATTGATTCCCAATTTTCTAAGAAACTGCCATGCTGATTTCCAAAGCGATTGTGCAAGTTTGCATTCCCACCAGTAATGGAGGAGTGTTCCCTTTACCCCACATCTTCTCTAGCATAAGCCGTTATCAATGTTTTTAATGTTGGTCACCAAAAATAATTTTCAGTCCTACAAACTCCATTTGTAGAAGGTATTCTAAATAGGCAAGCTGTTCTTTTTATCTTTTATGCTATATTTTATTCTACCTTCTACATTTGGATTATGTACACAAATACTAGCATCATGTTTCAATTATGTACAGCATTCAGGACAATCATACACAGTACAGATTAGTGACCTAGGAGCAATGGTGACAGACAGGCTATATCACACAGCCTGTGTGTAGAGAGGAGTATACACCATGGAGGTTTATGAAAGTACAGAATGGGATGTTTCCACAGGGCAACATTGTGGAACAAAAGTTCTCCATTCTCATTCTAAGAAATCTTTGAGATCTCCAGAATGTGAAGGATATACTTTGTGTTCTCTTAAAACTAGAGTCTGAGATCCTTTAGGTAGCTGCAAGAAGACAACTGGTCATTAGAAAGATCAAACGTGGTTAAATAACGGCAACTCCCAGCTTACCCTCCAGCCTTCATGGGGAAGAAAGGATCAGAAGGTAGAGTTGATTACTACTGGCCAGTGATGTAAACAACCATGACTACACCAGGAAACTTCCATAAAAACTCAAAGGGATGGGATTAGGAAGTGCTTACAGATGGTGGAACCCAATGAGATACCCACAGAATGAGATTCTCTTTGAGGACACAGAGAGCCCATTCTTCCCACACACTCTGTCCTGCGTTCCTTGTCTATCTGGATGTTCATTTGCATCCTTTTAAACACCCTTTATTATAATAAGTAAATGTAAAGAAAGCATTTCCCTGAGTCCAGAATCCACTTCAGCCAGAATCAAACCAAGGGAACCTTCATGTGTAGCTGGTCAGTTGGAAGTATCGATCAGAACCTGGGACTTTTGATTGGCATTTGAAGTAGAGAGCAGTCTGGAGGCACTGAACCTTTAGTGGTTTTGGTCTGATAGTATCTCTAGGTAGACAGTATCAGAAAGGAATTGAATCTGAGGTGGTGTCCTCTGGAGAATTGCTGGCTGTGTGTGGGAAATCCATCACGTTGTCAAGTGTGTTGAGTGAGCTCCATGAATGGGCAGAACGCCGTTTCCCTGGCTCCACCAGCTCTAATCTCGTTAAGAAGTCTTGGTGTGCATATTTTCTTGAACCAGCTCTCAACTTGATAACTACTAATGAGCAGCAGTTCACTGTGACTAAGTGGGAAGCCAGCAGCTTCTGAGTAGGGAGGATATGATCTCTGTTAACAAAGGGATATCTGTGGGGTTTCTCTCTCTCTGCTTCTACTGCGTGAAAGAGAAATAGCAAGAAAGTCAGGAAAAGTGATTCTTCTCTGAAGGTCAGGCATACTAATCTTTTCAAAATCAGGCTTCTGTATGCTTAGAAACCCAACTTCATGACTTTCTCTTTTTTTTCTTTTTCTTGTTTTTTTGACTAATGACAATGGTGGGTCAAGAAGCTCCTTACTTAGTGTGAGGATTGGATATAGCCCCAATACTAGTCCTGTCCCTTTGGAGTTTTGTTTCAAACTTTTTCAGGCTTGCCCACCATGCTGACGATTTCCCAGTGAGGTTGAACCAACATCGAATGGTTTGGAATTATATAATTAAGCATATTCAACTTTAATTACTGTAACTAATTTATCAAAATCTGCTAACATGACACTTGATAAGAATCAGGCACAAATTATGGCGGTCAAGTGATTCTTTTCCACTGGTTCATTTCCTGGCTTACAAAAAGCTTGAGAGAATCACAGCTGGTTAGAAGCAACCTGCGGACTACATATTGGACCCCCCAAACTCCTGGTTATCTGGGCTGCTCAGAAAAGAACACAAGTACCCCATGTATGTACACTTCTGATAACCTAGGCCACTGACAAACAACAGGCACAAAAGTTGTCTCTTTGGCCCTTTATTGCTTGCTTCTGCCTTTTATTGTTTGGGGATTTGGTTTGTTATTGTTTTTCCAAGGTCTTAAAATATATATCATTAATTTATTTCAGCCTGTCAGTGGCAGGTGTCAATCCCGGCAGCAGCAGAAGTTTAGGGTGAAATTGGAGTCTGGGGGTAGCCTGAGCTAGCAGGTAGGCAGAGGTACCTGTGTGGCCTGGGCCACTCTAGTCTATAAGTGCTTAGTCCTCAGCCAGCCAGACCCTGGGAGACGTCCTTAGAAGATGACTTTGGCAATCTTGAGTCCTTTCTGCTTCATGTGAGGGAGGGTGGAGCTGGCTCCATGCTTGACCTTATTAGCCCCCTTGGTGAAGGTCCGCTTCTTAAGGATAAAGTCATAGTTGGCAGTAGAGTTCATGGCATAGAACACGTTGGCGTT